ACCACGCAGCCTGCGTGTGGCGCCGTACAAGCCGCGGTTGGGATGTCTCTCTACTGTACCACCATCATATTAAATTTTGTTGTGGGGGGGGGGGGGGTTGGGGGTGTGTGGGGGTGTGTTTATTTTTGTGGTTGGGGTCGGGGGAGGGGGTGGGGGGGGGGGGGGGGGGGGGGGGGGGGGGGGAGGGGGGAATTCCATTAAGTACTCCAGTTATTATCTATTTTAGTTCATTGCATTGAGTGGCTAGTTATCACATCTTTGTCAGCTTATAATTTTGTTAAAAAACATAGGGAATTAGTAATGGGACACAGCATTCTAAAATAAGAACGAAACAGCCGTCCATGGCTTCCACTGCCTGGGTGATATAAGGTCCACTATCTTCAAATTTGTAACTGAACTCATTAGCTCTCGTAACAGTCTTAAGCTGATAACTAAGTATACATTGTGTATTTGATGCTCATTTCAGAACGTGACAGAAGAAAACGAAGGAAACGGAATATTGATGGCTTCAGTTGGCGTAGAGAATGCAAGTGATAAGAATGAAGCAAACACGGATGACGTGGAGTCAGGTGGTAGGCGAAAATGGTGGAAAAGGGGAAATAAAGAGCAAAGGGACTCAAAAAACAAAGAGCAAATTCCTAAAAAGCAATCAAAGAGGAAAGACAAGAGAGAAAAATTGTTGTTAGCTGTCGAGGAAAAAGAGGTGCTAATAGAAGAAAAAGATTTTTGCATAAACATGTTGTCCGAGAAAAACGAGAGAATTTTAAGGCAAATGAGAGATTCAGGGATCAGTTTTTCTGAAAGAGTCAGTAATTTAGAAACAGAGTTGCATGAAAAGGATCAGACTTTAACCCAGCAAGCTGTTAATGGAGGTATGATAAATAACGGGTTAGAACAAGAACGTCCTTCATTGAGGCAGCTTCAGAAAAAAAATGAACAGGAGCGTGAAGCAAACTCGCGTATGCTGAGGGTTTGGAGCGATTTGGAGCAAGTGAACCGGGCGCTGGATAAAGAGACATTCTTGAGAAACAGGCCAGAGCGGAAGCTGAGGGAAAAGGAAACTAACTTAGCTGACGAACAACAAGCAAGACTTAGACTTGAAGACGAACTACGTGAAGCAAGGGAGACCTGCGCTGAGTTAGAAAGGAGGTTAGAAAACGAACGTCTGTTAAGGGAGACAACTCGACAAGATGTTCAAACAAAAGAGGATACAATTAGAGAGCAATCGCAACTTTTACAGCAAGAACGCGAGCTCAAGTCAGGTTTGGAGGAGAGGGTAGGAGATTTGCAAATTCAAATTGAAGTGGAAAGAAACAGAAGAATCGCAACTGAACGAGAAGTGAGAGAGGAAAGAATTAATTTACAGCAGGATCGAGAAAATCTGGAAAGAGAGCGAGAAATTTGCCAGCAAAGAATCCGCGACAGTGAACGAACAGTGTCGGAAAGCCAGCACCGACTACGGGAGTTGCAGTCAGCGGCTACTGCAGTCGAGGAGGACTTCGCTGAGTATAGGCGTCTTGAACCACGTGACTGGATCATCGGACGTGATGAGGTTATACTGAGTGAAACGAGTTTAGGAGTTGGAGCCTGGGGCAACGTGCACGAAGGAACGTTTCGTGGTTTCCAGGTAGCTGTTAAGCAGATTCACGATCTGATTCTTTCGCCTCATAACCGCAGATTGTTCGAACGAGAAATGAGTATTGCTTCGCGCTGTCGGCATCCTCATTTACTACAGTTTATTGGCGCTACTAACGNGGACGTGATGAGGTTATACTGAGTGAAACGAGTTTAGGAGTTGGAGCCTGGGGCAACGTGCACGAAGGAACGTTTCGTGGTTTCCAGGTAGCTGTTAAGCAGATTCACGATCTGATTCTTTCGCCTCATAACCGCAGATTGTTCGAACGAGAAATGAGTATTGCTTCGCGCTGTCGGCATCCTCATTTACTACAGTTTATTGGCGCTACTAACGACGATGGCAGCCCGTTATTCATAACTGAGCTACTCGACACTGATTTACGAAACGTTTTGACTCAACGCGCGTTGCACCACGAAGAAGTGGTTTGCATCGCTTTAGATGTCGCCAAGGGACTTAACTATCTTCATCTTAACAAGCCATTCCCCATCATTCATCGCGACATCAGTAGTTCAAACGTGTTGCTATGGAGACGCGATGATTGCTGGAGAGCCAAGCTGTCAGATTACGGAGCAGCAAATTTCATGCGTCAGTACATGACGTCTAATCCGGGAGCCAGTATATATGCCGCACCTGAGACCCAGACTTCTCAGCAGTCGCCAAAGGTGAGCACAAACTCTGACTACACCTTTCAGTTGCCCTTCATTACCGGGAAATATATTTTTATTAACATTAAGCTATTATTCATTTTAATTAATGTAAAAACAGTTTAAGCAAGGAAGCAAACATTTAAGTTTGTGGCATAGTCACTTAAGATTTTTGCATCAAGAAGAACAATCATTAAGGCCAATTTCTACAGCGTTTTACCGAGAACATTCTTTAGTGCGAATGAAGTTTCCTTGGGTGAATGTTCGTTTATGAGAATAGAATATCAGTAACAATCATTATTTTTATGAGCATTATCTTGCCAATATTGCGTTGAATTTGGAGGTACGTTTTAATTCGTGCGAATTTTACAATATACCTATAAAAACCCATATTGTATAGTGCTTTGCAATCATTTCGTTAGGCTTGTACCGTGTACATGTATGTAATATTCTGCGGCTGTGCTTGCACAAACAAACGCGGGATGCGTACAATGCTTAGTCAATACACGTACAAAATCAGGGAGCAGGAGGATAAATAAAAAATAACAAGAAGAACTTGATCGATAAATAACAACACATCTTTAC